TGTCTCCGCTCCAGGACTGCCGTCTTCACTCCTCCCTTCTGAAGATAGGCAGCCTATACACACACACACACACACACACACACACACACACACACACACACACACACACACACACACACACACACACACACACACACACACAGAGACCAAGCAGAACGTAAAAGTTTGCTGTGCCATATAATGTATTACAGCATATTGTGAAATAAATGCAGTAACTCACTGCCACCAGTCCATTGTGTCCTGCAATGAAATATGATATTTATCAGACAGTTATCCTGGAAATGCTAATTCCTCATAGAACAACTCTAAATAAAAGCTTCATTGACAATTAAAGTTTGTCAAGTTTATAATGTAAGTATGCAAGCTGCTCTCTTTTACTTTTTACAGCCAAGCACAATGAGTCCAAAGTTGAATAGTTGAGATAAAACTTACAAAACGCAAAAAACATTGAAATAAGGAATTTTTGTCCGACAGGAATACGTTTGTACAAGCAAGAGATAAATACTCAATAAAACATTTTTGCAAACTCAGCTGACACGATGTATCAATGTTACAAAGAGGTCGTTGGGTTGTTCTTATTGTAGCATAAGCCCTGTGTTTTCTGCACATTCCCCCAACAGTCGAAAGATCTCACCTCCCCCAATAACCAGAGCGTCATACTGGGATTTTAAAGCAGCCTGACTTGATCTGGATCTGGCCACAGTCCCCACAACAGCCGCAGCCCTCCGTCCTCGATCAGTCCACATCACCGCTGCAGCCATAGCAAAGGTTTGAGGAAAGATCCACAATCAATCCCTCCTGTTTTCCCCTGCAGCTGGGGGAGTAGATCCGGGTTTCCAAGCCACTCGTAAAGAGGTCTAGAGTAAGGGGCGGGAAGTGGTAGTTATTGGCCAGGGGGTTGATGTGCAGATATGGAAGAAGTAGTCTATTCATAACTTTCACTTAAGTCAAGTACTTAAAAGGTTTTTCAAGAAGCCTATCTAAAAGTCATGATTAAAAAAACTCCAAAAGTTAAAGTAGGCTACTCATTAAGCCAAATGCCCCATCAGGTTAATGTATTACCGAATTATAATATTAATGATGCAGTAAAGTGTACATGTTTATAGATATTGGATATTGAAGGTGGAAGGTGAAGATAATTTTAAAATATAATTAATTTATACTACTAGACACTTAGCCAATAATAATAGTTGTAATTGGATTATGTTGACTGAAGCAAGTAAGGCTAGGGGTGCACACAACTTTCTCAGTGAGGTACTCAGATGAGTACCTGGAGTCAGTGTTTGGTACTCCAACTTCCGGCTCCCTCAAAGTTCCCATGAAGCCCTCTGTATCGCGAATATCAGCGGGTGGGGGTGCTAGTGGAGTATGATGAAGCCCTCTGTATCGCGAATGTCAACGGGGGGGGGGGGTAGTAGTAGAGTGCAGAGCTTCGTGACCACAGAGCGTGTGAACGTTGTGATCAGCTGTTTTAGCGCAGTGCTGCTGTACAGGCCGACGTTAACAGCAGCCCTGTCTTTGCACACGGAGACCGACTCCGTCGTCCGGTGATCTAACCGCCTTATGGAAAAGCTTCACATATACATCGGTACGCAAATGCGCTTTGTGACACAAGTGACGGTACGCATTTCAGATTGTTGCCGCGCATGCGTACCTGCGTACCACTTATGTGCACCCCTGTCCTATAAACATCCATAGATCCAATTTATCCATCAGCCTGTCATCATTCAGTTGTCCACTTGGTGGCATAGTTGTTTCACTTAATCCAGCTCCAAAGACTCTTGATGTTGTTGTTGGTTTTTCCAGAAATCAGCACGACGAAACACTAATTTTACTAACATCTGATTGATTAATTTCACACATATTATATTTGTATTGTGTAGTATAAAATAAGGCACAAGTGAGCAATCACTTTAAGAACAAAAAGCCTACCTCAGTACTGTATATAGTTGTCAGACTTTCTTTAACAGTCTTTCAAGGTCTTGGGAATATACAGCTATATAAAAATCCACAGCATGTCAGAATACCACAGGACTTAAATATTTGCATGTCAAATTCCACAGAGCATTATGTACATTTGTTGTTAAAGTGTTTGTTTTTACACATAATACACACAAACATGTGTGAAAGAAAATACACAACAATCAAAAGGGCAATTAAAGCCATCCTCTTTTAGCTGGTTTGGGGTTGGGCTCCAGTCATCTCACGGTAAGGACCCACCTCAAGAGTTTTAAGAAGAGCTCTTAACAAAGAAGGGTTTCTTAGTGCTGCTGTTGAAGATGTCATATTGGCCTATTGGTTCACTTACCATGCATTAATAAGATAAGAGGCCATATATCATCTCAGGTCTGAGCAGCAGGGAGACAGAGCCAGAGATCTAAGGAAGGAAGTGTGTTGATTGGTAGAAAAACAACCAAACACAGCAGAACATAATTGAGTTGTCGGATCATATAATGTGGATTTTTGACTATGTTTTGCTTAGACAGTGTAAAATAATTCCTGAGGTTTATATAGACTGTGCACTCTCTTGGCGTAGGGAATTAAATGAGGCGTTATGGTGATCTAGAGTTTCCCGCTAGACCTAACATGCCTCTCCCTTGGTGTATTAGAGTAGCATTAGCTTCAGGGAAGAGATTGATGCTGATATGCTCTCTGCTTGGTTTTCCTTTAAGGAACGTCTGTGGACAACAGCCAATCAACCATAACTAGATCAGGAGCAGGAGATTTTGTTCTTGTAAGCAGAAATTAACACTTCATTCCCCTTTGTCGGCAGAAATTCAACACTACAACCCTTGAAGGCTCTCCCAGGCAATAAAGGAGAAAATGTAATTATGTTATAACAGTGCCGCACCAAAACACAATTACCAGATTTTCTGGGGGGGAAAAAGATCTCTATTCACTAGTGAGGATGAAAGACCTTAAGAAGTTATCGGATAGCTTTGGGAATTCCTTATTTTAAAAAATACAAGATACTGTCTTATTAAAGATTATAAAAGGTATTTTTTTAAGATCGTACTGCACGTCCTGAAAAGAAGAAATGACAAAAAGACAAATATTTCTTAGGTGTAATGTGTGTGTGTATAATCAGAATCAGAATACCTTTATTAGTCCCACAGAGGGGAAATGTGCATCGTTACAGCAGGAAAGAGCCACAGACAGCTTAATGTTACATGTTAAAAAAAAAAGTACTAAGTTATGATATAATACAAAATATAATAAAAAAATACTTTTCAAAATACAAATCCTGTAACAGTTCTTAGGATTTAGCAGCCAGGTATATATTACACCGTTATTAATGGCATATGTATAATAATGTATTGCACATAAAGCACATATTGCAAATAGTTTGATGGTATTTAACTGCAGCAAGTTACACAATTTACAAAATCCAAAATGCAAAAAACACACCTTGTAACGGTTCTAAGGGTTTATCAGCCAGGTATAAATTACACAGTTATTAACGGCATATATATGTATTGCACATATAGCACATATTGCACATAGTTGATTGGTATTTAGCAGCAAGGGGTGATATCTGTGTTGTGGTGTGTGTGTGGGGGGAGGGGGTGTCTACTAGGGGCTGTGCTGGTTGTATAGTCTGACCACTGCAGGAAGGAAGGACCTGCGGTATCTCTCAGTGAGACAGCAGGGGTGCAGCAGCCTGTCGCTGAAGGAGCTGCACAGTGAGGACAGGGTGTCCTGGAGGGGGTGGGACATATTGTTCAGCAGGGAGCACAGCTTGGCAACCATTCTCCTGTCTCCCACCACCTCCACAGTGTCCAGAGGACTCCCCAGGACAGAGCTGGCCTTCCTTACCAGTCTGTTCAAAAATGTACTGTGAACACTGATGTATACTGAGACGAGTCTGTTAATCTATCACTTCATCAACGAGAAAATAAACTATCAACAATCGTAGACATTGATACATTGTTGATGTCATTTCTTAAGCAAAAATCCTGTAAAATGTGCTGATTCATTTGTGATGGGCATTTTTTAAGTTTTTGGTTGGATTTTATATAAACCCTTAATCCAAAACAGAAACATCGATAATGAAAATGATTGGTATAGGTATGCAGCCCTACACTGATCAAAACCACACCGAGACACTTCACATTCTAGATTGCAAACATGATGTGCTGTATGTTTATTAATAAGTTAGAAAAGGGTTTTACCAATTGTAGCATAAATTACTCTGTTAATAGTTTGTAATCTTTTAATGAAGTAGGCTATACAGACAATAAAGTACTTTGTATTTGAATCTCAATAACAGAGTTGATTTTCTTTTGAACACATTGATAGCTACTACATATTTGTAAAACAACAACTGTTAAAATAGGCCATCAGTAATGTATAGAAACAAATGGAGAGGACTACGCAGTGTGAAAAGCAGAGGGCTGAATCACAGGTGGACCTTTACATAAGCTCTACCAAACCATTGGTATTCAACAGATATATCCGTTGAATAATTCTAGTTCAATAATTCCTGGATTAAACAACTGACCAAGAGGCTGTACAATTTGAAACAGTAAACAATAGATATCAAACAATTTTTTGTGAAATGTAGCCTAATAATACTTTCAAAATGCTGATGAAAATGCTGATTATCCTGTGGATGGATACTGATTTTAGTTTGGTTTCTATGTGTTTCTTTGTGTAAAGATTATGCAACATGGGTCAAATATGTAGTTCACAACACTGTTAATAAGACTATAAACGTAGCATTAAGTGACACGTCAAGTGCCAACAAATACAACTGATTAGGTTATGTATTTAAAAAATATCGTTATGGATGACCTGCAGTGACCTATAGTTTTGATAGCTTTCACAGATGCAGCATGCAGCCATAGTTAATGTGGTTAACATAGTTGACATAGTTAATGTCAACTGCCTTATTATGACAGTGTTTGAAGTCTTCCCTCTCATGAGTGGCAGGTCTATAACCCAATAGCGTGAGTAGGACTTGACCATCGTAACCAATCAGAGCTCATTTCCTCATCACGGCCTGTGCTGGGGCTTGTTGTGTATTTGTCCGCCACGGCCTCCCTTGCTTAGCCCTGGCTGGGAAGTAGCCTAATGAGGCGGGGAGGGAATGGTGTAGCAGGCAAGCAGCGTTAATACCTCCCTAGGGGAATGTGAACCGTAAGGACTGATATCACTAACAAGACGCCGTATCTGCGTGTTTTGACATTTTACCTGGTTTCTCATGGAAGCAGATGGATTTGTGAGGAGGCGACGGATGACAGCGGAGACTACAGGCAATGATCCCGGGGTTGCTGGTGCATCTGCCGGGGCAGAAGTTCGATGGCTGGGGGGCAGATTCTGGGGAGTTTCGGAAACTATCGTGGGGAGCCTGTCACCCCGGATCGGAGGGGAAACGGAGCTGCAGGCTGTTGATTTTAACCGTAGTGCACAAGATGCTCAAACAGAGGACTCTGAACCAGACTATGAGGGATTGCCACAGGGAGCCTCCACTAGCACCCACATGTGGGCTGGAGCCGTGGCCGGGATCATGGAGCACTGCCTCATGTTCCCCATCGACTGTGTCAAGGTAGCTTAGCCAAGTGTGCACCGGCTGACCCAAAACTTTGTATGAATGTTCAATGTTTCCACAGACAGGTGTATGTTGTGTTATGTGTGTGTTAATCCATTAGCCAACGTGTTTGTTAGCATAGCTCATTAGCTTGCTCGCTGACCTAAACACGCTGTGGTGCAGACTGATTTGAGGACAAGGTCAGTTATCGTGTCACATCCCTACTAGCTAACTCGTTAGCATGCTAATATATATGCAGCTACTGGCTAACGTCAGTAGGTATGACAACCTTTAGTAGAGTCAAACACAGGCGCCCACTTGGTTACTTTAAACTACGAACTAAAGACAGTCAAAACAATCTGATGACTCAATGGATATAATAGTACGTCAATCATTAATGTGCATGTTACGTGTAAGCAAATCGGAGTTTACTAACTTTTCGTAGCGTTGATGAAAGTTATTAATTTGGTGCAACAAGAGTTCTAGGAGACCAAAGCTTTTTGTCTACAAATAACAAAGGGATTGTTTGACTGTTGTTTTTAGTAACTTATTATGTACTAATTACATTTATAGAATGCAGTTTTGAGACCATTTGACCCCTGCAGTCCACAGTTTCAGCATCTCCTGACATTTTACCCAACACGCAGTTTGTTAGTTGTATGGAGTTCGGCAGCATGCCTAGTGCTGCGAATCACACACCAAAACGAATTGTTTTCCAAGCTTTTTGATCACATGCAAGTCATGCAATTTCACTAGGTCAGTCCTTATCATGTGGTCTTCTTTGTTATATATGAGTTTATTTGTGCTTTTAACTCAAACATATTGAGGCAAAATCTATTGCCCCAAAAGGTCATCTAGATGGCTCTAGACATTGTATACACAGGGTTGGAAAAATGGGACAAGTGGCATTGAGTCAGCTGTCCTTGTCAGATTGAATAGCTTTACATATGCCCATGCTTCATCCATGTCTCTGCCACCTGTAGTCTATCTCCGTTGCAGCCTGTCCGACCTGAACCTGGAAAAAAACAATGTTTACAGAACCTTTTCATGTACACGGCTTCTGCCACACCACTTTAAGATCTCTGCATGTTTTCAAACAAGGAGAATAGGGGCATTGTGACTCAGCAAAAGAAAGCATACTGCTCATAGACAGAGGAATATTTATTTACACAATATCTGAGATGCGTCTAACATTTGCTTGCAACTTTTTTATTCAAAGGCTTCCTAATTGGAGGTTTCCCCCTAGACTTTCCCTCCTGTGAGATAAGCCTATCACTTAAGAGATCGCAGTGTAATTATAGTTTTAGAATAGGCTGTCATTCTCCCTTAATGTATCGCAAATCCCAGTAATTGGTTGGGATTTTGAAACGCGTGTTGCATTTGTAGCTCTGCCAGAGTTGTACACTGCACAGTCCACATGACTAGAATTTCAATTGTATTGATTCTTTCATTGAAAGAAGCCAACAAGTTTTTAGTGTTTGCTCCAATGTAGGGTAAATGTAGTGTTTGCATAGAGGACAAAGGTCAATATTTTCGTCCTGTGCAAACATAGCGTAGAAAAACCCACCAAACCAAACGCTGGACATGGAAGATGTCTATACATGTGTTTGTATAGAGCACATATCAAGTGAATGATAAATCCAGCATTCAAATTACAGTTTACTTTTACTATCCTGCAAATATGTGATTTGCAATAGTGCCAGGAGTGAAGTAAGTTGATGCATATACTCGGAAGACTGTAAGATAGCTCGTTTTGGGCCCTGCATTCCACAGCTGTACTATGGAGTGACATGAGGCCATGTTTATGCTTCGTTAGAGCACTACACGCACATAAACAGTGGGGTGCAAGTTTGTCCATTCAGCTGGAACTTTGGTATTCAGGGATTATGTGGCTGCTGGTTCCTTAGACCCAGTGAGACCCCAGGTGACTCCAAATCTCAATTAGCTAGTGATAGAATCACAACTTAATTGCACTTGTTCATTAGATAATCTTTCTACATGATCAGTTATCTCAGTGTGCATGTGTGTGTTAAGAGGAATAGAGAAAGGTGTGCTTCAGGGTCAGTGGGAAAAGAGGCTTACAGGAAGTCTGCTTATGTCCCCTTGTGACCTTGGAGCTTGTAACTCCATACTTCCTTCTATTCAATTATGCATGTACACAACACACAATGCACCTCCTTCCCTTAGTTGACCCCCTATTCACACCACAGTCTATTCAGGACCCTTTTCATTGCCATGCTTATTTTTTTGTTAGGCATATGTATAATAAGAACAAAATGACACTTTAGATTGTGTGTGTGTGTATATATATATATATATATATCTCTTGAGTTCATCTCAAATGTATTTAATCTACTGCTAAACGTAATACTAAGCACTGTTAGGTTGAAAGGGAGCAGCTTGTTGACTTTGAATGTTGTTACATTTCACCTTTTTATTATTTTCCAGACACGCATGCAGTCACTCCAGCCCGCCCCTGCAGCCCGCTACAGGAATGTGATGGATGCTCTCCGCCGAATTATAGCCACAGAGGGAGTCTGGCGGCCAATGAGAGGGCTGAATGCAACAGCAGTTGGGGCGGGACCTGCCCATGCCCTCTATTTTGCCAGCTATGAGAAACTCAAAAAGACTCTAAGCGATGCCATTCACCCAGGGGCTAACAGTCATTTGGCTAATGGTACCATATAACATACATAAACACACTTTAACAGTGACATGTTAAAGATGTATACATCATGTTAAATATGAGATCAATAGTATCACTAATATAGGTTGATAATTAGGTCTCTAATTCCAACCATAATGCCAATGATCAACAGTGTAATCGTTATGAAGCTGCTGATTTAATCTCTGCAGGTGTAGCCAATTCTAAGAACCCCAAGCATGCCATCAAATTGGAAAACGCCTTTTCATAGCTACAGTTGTTCACTGTAAGGAAGTATCAGGGTCAGCTTTCAATCGGTTAATGGCTTTTATGAAACTTAAACAATGTTATCCTATGTGATTCAAGTACAGAAAAGTCACATTGGCTACAAAATAGAAAAAGATTTAAAAACCTTGTCAATCATTTCCTTATTCCTTGTTCTCCCTACTGTCTCTCTCTCTTCCTTTTTTCCAGTTTAGTGCAAGGCTGGGTAAGTCGTCTTTCTCCCATCTCATCTGCTCCCTCCACTGTCTATCCTCTCTTTTAAAGCTTTTGGTTCAATCTTTCAAAAGAGCAGTGAATTGTCTTGTCCACAAGGTGTCTCTCTTTGCTCAGGTTTGGACACCTGAATTCAATCAGGTGTGATCTGTAGTGTTTGCACAATTTGCTAAGCTTCCTCTTATTATGCTACTATGATTTATTGTTTAGAGCATGACATCTGCTACTTTTAGGAATAAGGCATTGGAGGCTGATGATCAAAAGGGTCCTTATTTTTGCAAGTGTAAACAATGTTTTATTTATGCCTATTTACTGCAGCTTCTGCTATTTTCCTTCTATATTCTTCACCATTCTCTCAATGTTTATTAACTTCTTCCGTGTATTTGTTTCAGGAACAGCTGGGTGTGTGGCAACACTGCTTCACGATGCAATCATGAACCCGACCGAAGGTAAAGGCAACATTTTACAGTTCAATCCTATAGCTTCTAACTACTGCATTAGGACAGCTTTTTTCTTATTTTCTCATGTAACCAAATCTTGCCATACAGAAGTTTCAGTAATAAAACATACAGGTGCCACGCCTTTGCCAACCATCTTCAGATGTTGCCCTTAACCCTGCAGTCTCACATATTGGCTTTCACAGCTGCCTCTTGTCCTCCTGCCCAAACATGTTAATAGAAGGACACTAGTCAGAGTCCTTGTGTGCAGCTGTTGGATGGGGTGCAGCTGTCTGAGCAAACGCAATTCGAGTGACACTCCATCTTTCTTTGTGTTTATTCAAACTCTGTGTTTTTAAAGACAGATTCACAAAGTCAATAGCTAACTAATCTTCTTTTCTTTTTCTATCTTTGCCATCCTCTTACTGCCAACCCTGGACACATTTGGACTTCTCCTTCTTCATCTGCTGATGTGTCTCCAGTTGTGAAGCAGCGCATGCAGATGTATAACTCGCCTTACCGCGGCGTGATGGACTGTGTACGCGCCGTGTGGTATAAAGAAGGCCCTGGTGCGTTCTACCGCAGCTACACCACCCAGCTCACCATGAACGTGCCCTTCCAGGCACTCCACTTCATGACCTATGAGTACCTTCAGGAGCTGCTCAACCCTCACAGACAGTACAATCCCTCGTCCCATATGATGTCCGGAGCTTTGGCTGGAGCAATTGCAGCCGCGGCTACTACGCCTCTAGACGTCTGCAAGACCCTGCTCAACACCCAGGAGTCTCTCACCCTCCACTCCCTGTCTCCCAGCCAAGGCCCCGGACAGGGCCAAGGCCAAGGAGCCCACAGACAAATCTCAGGCCTTGCCCACGCCTTCCGGACTGTTTATAGGCTGGGCGGCCTGCCGGGCTTCTTCAAGGGAGTCCAGGCGAGGATCATCTACCAGATGCCCTCCACAGCCATCAGCTGGTCGGTCTATGAGTTCTTCAAGTATGGACTCACCAAGCACCAGAACGACAAGAGGAGATCGCAGTAGAAGGAGGCTGAGATTTAAATATCTCCTTGAGTTAATCTCCTATGATATTGTTCTGCCCTCTCTCTGAGGACAAGATCATGTCCATACGCACATCGAATCTGACTAAAATCCACCTCAGTTGTCCCATACTTAAACATAGCATAAGTACAATTTCTGCTACGCTTTTTCAACACCAGGTATGGTTTACGTTTTGTTTATTCTGTCCTTCAGTAGAAAACACTTTCACAATATTTTTTTAAGCCATTCTAAAGACCTCTTTGCTTGTCTAAGCTGAGGATTAATGTCAAGAACGCACAAGTTTATGTGTTGGAATGGTAGTCAGCAGAGGGCAGTAGTGTTAACTCTTTTAGTTCCATAAAGTTTGCTGTCCAGCAACCAGGTTTTTATTTTTGAGTAAGTCTTGAGTTGGCTAATAAAAATGATATCCAGACCCTTTTCTGACAATAATCAAACACGGGATAAGTTCACTTTCTAGTTTGGGCAACACTCAGGCTTTCAGTCCTTTTTATCGAAGTATTTTTGATTTGATCTCATTTAAACGTTTTTCAGCCTATAAGAATACAAAACAAATTGCCCCTTGTCGACAACATGTTCTTACACACATTATTTTCCGGATCAGTACCCCAAAATCTTTCGAGAAAAGTAATGTAGCCCTGCAAACTTGGCAACTCTAGGCCAAGAGCAAAATGATTTTGTATATCTTGATCAATTTAAGTCATTTATGGTTTATCATCGTAACCAAAGACCAGATTTTGGGTTCCCTTTTTCTTTTTTTTCTTTTTTCCCCTGCTTTTTCAAATTTCCAAATGTTCCCTTTGATATAATTTGACAGAATCGTATATATACACAACAAACATCCCATCGTTTTGAGGTAGTTGCAGAGTGCATTTAGATTATTTTAATTTTGTTTCTTTATTTGGTATTTTAATTTCGAGCAAATATTACTTTAAACTTTCCCTTTTATTTTATTTCCACATTTAAATGGTAAATCAACCTTTGGATCCCCGAAGTTCTCACCATTTATGCCTTGTGTACGTGTTTGGCAGACCATGGCAGCATTGAGAAGGCCAATTCTGTGCATTACCTGTAGCTATCAGTTTGTGAACTACTGAGTTTCCATATCTGTGCTTGACAGCAAAGGTTGTGTACATTGTACTGTGCCCACAAGAAATCAGTATCCCCCCCCCCATTGAGTACACATAAATGGAAACTGTCATCCTTATTAATTGATGTCTCATTGTTACCGACACTGAATTGCACTCGTTGAATAAAGACTGAGCAGTGGGGCTCTACTCACTGCTCATAAATGATGGGAGCACTCTTCTAATTTCTTTAAACGTTTCTGAATACTTTGCTATATGTGAAGATAGAATGTTCCTACCTATTCACCAGTCATTGCAAACAGGTTCCAGGTTCATATTGTCATTATATTCTGGGTGCGTATAAAATATCTTAAGTCTTTGTTTTCCCAGTGAATAGCAACTGAAAGAATGGGATTGATGAAAAGAAGGCAATGCCCTAAGCCACATATGTCCTGCCAGTAGCACACAGTGAGTTTGTCTGGGTCTTCAGGTATTTATTTTTAGTTTGAGGCAGGTACAGTTGTTTAGTCTTGAACACAGGTGCAGATTTCAACTTTGACCTTCAAGACTGAAAGCAGAATTTGAACTTGTGGGCACACAGCACGGCATACAAACAGCCTGGAGAGGAATTCAGCAATTGATGCGTGATAGGGTAAACTTTGATAATATAAGACTGCCGAAATTGACTTTAAGATTGAAAATTCAAACAAATATAAAGGCCTATTTCTATTCTACTAAGACACTTGCAGCTGAAGGGCTTTTGAGGACTACTAATGTGAATGGTCAAAACTGCAGAAGAACCTCATTCTCTATTGGAGAGATTAGCTTTGAGAGATTTCCTCTCAATAATTTGTTCTAACTGTGTTGGAATAAAGAGATTGAGTCAAAAACCAAAAAATCTGTTTTTCATAAATACTTCATCCATGTTCAGCAAAAGATCCATGTAGACAGACATTTGATAATTCATGCTTAGCTATGTAAAAACATGGATTTTCTGAATTTCCTTGCGTCAAAAATGAATGTGTTGATTCCACAACAACATATCTTATTTTAGACTGGGAGAAAAACGTCATATGTCAGTACATTTTTTAAAGTTCCCTTAATGTATTCCAGTCACTCTAGCTAGAAGATATATGAAACACATGTACACAAAGCCTGAAATCCTTTAGTAGGAATCTTTAGACATCAGTTTTAGAGCAGCAAGTTTAATGCTACAACTCGTGGTGAGAAGTGAAAGCCTCACCACATCCGCGTCTGTATAAACTACCCCAAACACACAGACACACACATTCACACCCCTGCTTGTCAGGCCGACACCTGTTCAAACAGGGAGTGTTAATGAACCATACCTGTCGTCCTCTACCCAACTATCTATGCATGCACAATATGTGTGGCCTGTTAGAGTCATATGCTGATAGAGTGGTGTGCCACTCTTTTTCACTCCTGATGATCAGCCAGCTAGAGTTTGTTCACTGTGTTTGCAGAAATGAATTGAACTGACTGACAAGCTTTACCAACCTGATCTCACCAGAATGCGTGACTCCACCACGACTCCTTAACACTGCATTGCGTGGTGGAGTCACAAACTTTGCTACATTAGCTTTACATGAGTAAGAACTATGAAATGGCATGAGTGTAGAAATACTGTGATGCAGTTACAGAGAGGCAACTAGTAGAAATTGAATGTGACTTTTCTTTCAAAGGTGTCTTTTATCTACTCTTCTTTTATGCATTTTATTTCTATGTGGGTCTGTGTGTGTGTATGTGTGTCTGTGTGGGAGACTAGGACTAAGCCTGTCTGCTACAAATCCCAGCAGCCTGAGATGAGTAAACTATTTAGTCTGGTCTATTGCCCCTTTCTTTCTCACTGTTTGTGTAAGAGTGTGTGTGTGTGTGTGTGTGTGTGTGTGTGTGTGTGTGTGTGTGTGTGTGTGTGTGTGTGTGTGTGTGTGTGTGTGTGTGTGTGTGTGTGTGGCAGGCATGTGGCCAAGGCTTGAACAGATTGACCAGTCGAATACGATTGTTGTATTCTTAGCAGCGGTACCGGTAGTACTCTTATCTTTCAGTTAAGTAAAAGTATGCATACTGTCACACATAGAACGTAATAGTATCTTGCAAGTGAAAGTATTAGCATTAGTAGTGATTGTGCATAGTGGTCCATTTAAAGATCAAATATGTTATATATCTTCATTTTAAGTATTGATGCATTTATGTGATGCTCTATTATGTTAATGCTTTAGCTGGTAAAGGGGGAACTAGTTAGTTAGTAGTTATACACTGTGTATTATTAACCTTGGTCTGAAACTAGCTAACTCGTGTTATGAATTAAGTGTTGTTGATTAAAAGTATAAACTACCAGAAAAATTATAATGACAGTACAAGAAGTTTACATAAACACTTCACTGGCTACAGTATCTGTAGGCTACGTTATATTCATTGATTTTAATGTGAGTGTGATTGCCCACGGATTGATTGATTTCCTGAAGATGCCGACAGCCAATTAAAAGCCTGGTTTATCGGTGTGGGCGGGGTTGACCTTCGACAGGTGTGTGTAAATGTTTGTGTGAGGTGTGTGAGCTCCATGCTGGGCAAAGTTTGAAGGAGTTATGTCAAGAAATAAAGTCTTTGCAGTAAAAAAACAAGTTGCGGCTACTGTAAATAACGTGGCAAAGTACAATACAGCAAGATATTTAAAGAAACCACGGTTTTATAGAGGAAGAAGTAGCCTGTCCCTAATGAAACATGCTAGCATTGGGCTAGTATGTTTAAATTGAGCTAACCAAAATAGCAAGAAACTAGTAGTAAAATACGGTAATAATAAAATGATCTCCCGAATAGGCTACTAATTCCATTTGTAAAGGGGATTGCCAACCTATTCAACAAATACCAACACGGAAAGGACTTCACTTCATGCCATTGGAACTTGAGATGGCAGATTTATTGGATTTATTCATATCCATAATCAACCCCAGCCACGCAGCCCCCACCTTGTGATGAATGGAAGTGTGTCCCCCACGAGCCATCCAAGGTACAAATAAAATGCTATGTATACGTCCGCTGTAGCACTAATTACAAATAAATCTGATGCAGATTATAAAGGTGCACCTGTATTGAGATTGTGGTATTGTTTGTCTCTGATGGCTTTGCATTGAGAGTATTTATATGAATCTGTTTGTGAAGTGACATGAGATTGTGAACTGCTTGATGGGTTCGTTTTTAAAAAGTTTGTTTTTGTCTCGTTGGTTTCCATTTGGCTTTGTTGTGTATTAGGCCCGAGGCCGATGCTTACAGAGCTACCGCCCGCCTAGTGCATGTGCCAAGTCTGTGCTCATTCATTGTCTGATATTAATGAAAAGAACACGTACTTTCTTTGATTTGTTTTTTGCCACAGTATAGTTTTTCTGTGAAAGAAAGGTTCATCAATTTGTTCATAGGGCCTGCCTAAATAATTCTGCCTAAACCACTGGTGCGTTTTTGGGCGTGCGTGTGTGTGTGTGTGTGTGTGTGTGTGTGTGTGTGTGTGGGCTTCATTGAAGATTGAGAGAAAAATACAGAGTAGGAGAGCATGCATGTATTATATAATATCTGTTATGAGTTAAATGTAGGGGCAAGCAGTTTCAGTAGTTTGAAGGCGTAAAAGAAATATTGAAAAAGTGAAAATAATACTGGCTTCTATACATTCATAAATGTATCGCTCTCAAAGGTGTCTGGTCCGAAAGATTTTGAGGATGGATGATGGTCTTTTTTTTATGGTTTCAAATTAAGGGAAACTTAAGGGTTTTACTCCTTTTCTGGCTTTCTTAATCAGCAAAGAGATAGTTATTTGGCACTTCAGTCATATCACATGGGGAGATCTTAATCTCAGTGTGTGTTTAAAAAAATGTGTATTTTGAGTCAGATAGTTGCTTTGTTCTTCCTCGCTCACTGACTGCTGGTCGATGACTTTGCCATGTTCCCAGTCGATTAATATTTTGGTCTGAATATCACACAGCTGCTGTTGTCTCCTTCAGTTGTTTCATTTGATTTTGAATAGGTTGAAGCCATTTTCAAGATGATCAGTTAAAACAATTCCTCAGTTGCTTGTATGAGTCAATTCACAAGTTTAACAGTTTGTGTTCATATTGCTGTTTCTCATTTCTGCCACTCAGATAAAAGTGCTTCCACTTGGCTAATGATAACAATGTTGCCTTAGTTCAGATGCCATCACGTCTATTTGTTTCTGCTGTTGTTAGTTCTCATGGATGTGTCATGTGTGATTAATGACAATTATAATGGCTGCTGTCAATTTAAGTGCTGCAGATCCAGACTCTTGACATAAATTGGCTTCATACTTTATTTGGAACCTAACCGTCAGTTTATACAAAAGTGAAACCTCTTCTTGTTCTAATGTTTTAATTCACAAGTATAGCAAACATTAAACAACATTACATTAGCATTAGATATCGTTCTCCTATTTTGCAAATAGGTTTTTATAAAGTTGCCTGGCATAATTGAGACCAGGCAAGGTTGGTTGGTTGATATGTATTTTATCAACCAACTATATCTTGTTTTTTCTCCGCTCTTCAAAGTAATTTAAGATAGAGTGATTTGGCTATGAAGAGCTACTGTATACTGTAAGTCTTGATGAAGATTACTTTAAACCTCTCTAACCCTAATGTCTCCTAATATAAGTTGTTATAACATTGTTTACAATTCCAATGTTGAATCATAATCTTGTCACATCAATTATACCCTTTAATCACTACAATAGAGCCTTTTAATTTGATACACAAGAAAAGTGTAAAGTTTACCACTCTGAAAGCTATAACTCTGTCAGTTATAATTACTCTTGAGTATTTACCAACTGGGTGTGTGCGCATTATGTGTGTGTGCGTGCGTGTGTGCGTGTGTGTGTGTGTGTGTGTGTGTGTGTGTGTGTGTGTGTGTGTGTGTGTGTGTGTGTGAACATAGATCAGTGACCGATGCCGTCAAAGCAAACCTTAAACTATTCCTCTTCTTGACCAAATATTATTGCTATTTCAAGGCCATATTGTCTGACTTAATTTGAACACACATGCAAAAACACACTCTTAATACTAAATACTTGTGGATGAAGGGCTGGCACGCATATATACACTCCCTTGTGTATTGGTGTAAGCCCATGTTTTGGAAACTCAAGCCTCTGGTCAAAGCCCCTTACAGCAAGCACCTGTGGAAGGGTCTATTTCACACACGGTCACAAACACACACTCCA